ATTCTCCCATTCTCCTGGAGGAAGTCTTCACATGCTTGGAGCAGACATAACCTTAACTCTTCAACAGGTTTGAGGCTGCTTGTTACCCTCAACCTGGTTTAGCACATCTGCTGAGATGGTTTGCTGGGGCATGGCTGCTGTGAATGCTACAATTTCTTGTAACCATGGTTGAGAGAACTGGGTGACTTGCACATCAAAAGTGGATAAGCATGACTGAAGAAGGTTTGGCAAGCCCTCAAACCACAGGTACTAGTCCTTCCTTAACACGCCATACACCCACTCCTAAAATGATCTCTTTAAAGGAAATATATATATATATATATATATAGATAGATAGATAGATAGATATAGATATATATACACACATACATATATATATAGATCTAGATATACATGCACACATATTTATGTATATATACATGTACACATATTTATGTATATACACATATATGCATATATATGAAAGAGATTTGGAGTCTTCTAGAGAACTTTGATTTGAAACTTAGCTCTGCCTCTTATACACACATACCCACATATCACTGAAAAGTAATTAATCTTTATCACTTACCCCATTTTAGTGACAGAAAATACTGGATCCTAAAACTTTTCAGGCTGATGAAGCTAGCACAGACATACAGAACGCTCACTGGCTCTCTGTCCCAATACCCTCTTTTCTCACTCCAATCCTAGTAGCCCCTCACTCAGTTGCACAGCTTGGAAACTTCCAGGGAATCCACACTGCCTTGCTACTGGGCTGACTTTTGTTTTCTATCACATTGCTACTGGGCTGACTTTTGTTTTCTGTCACATTGAACTTCATGAAGCTATCTATGCAGCTCTAAGCTGCTATCATCTATCTAAAAGGGAAGGGAGAATCAAAATGGAAGCATGTGGTAAACAGAGAACTCATTAGTATTTCTTTTTTTTCTTTCCCCTCCAGGCTTGAAGATGCATGGGACATAGGGAGAGTTAATTGGCTTTGCAGTGCAGAGTTTATTAATGACAGAACTCAAACAAAAGGGTTCTAGAGGGTACTAGCTGTGTGACTCTGGGCAAATCTGCCTTAGCTTCCTCATCTGTAAAATGCAGATGATAGCACCTCCCTTCCAGGGTTGTTGTTTCAGATGATATATTTGTAAAGCACATAGCAGAGTGACTGGCATATAGTGTTATGTAAATATCAGCTGCTATAATTATAATTGTTATTACTACAGAAGGTAGGGACTAAGGAAGGTAAGAAATGAATTCCAAAGGGATAAGAGATTTATCTCTGAAGACAACAGCTGGTCATTGTAACCATGGGTATCCTGCTATCATCTAACTCTCTTCCTTTTATATATATACTCTAATACAAAGCAATATTTACAGGATCATAGAATTTTAGAGTTTGAAAGGGAAAACAGAGCAGGAGCTCTTCACTTTTTAAAATCGTAATTGAAGGCCAAATTTCAGTTAGACATGAGTGAAAATAAAGATTTAATTTTTTTTCCCATCCAAGTTATGGATTCTCTGAGACTTACTTGTGGAGCCTTGTGGACCTCAGGTCAAGTTACTCTTTTTTAGAGCCTCCAATCCATTTCTCTCATAAAAAAAAATAGATTTGTTGCAATAATGCTCAAAATGAATTTTCTAACACTTTGGTCTGATAGGTCTTTTAACATAAGAATATACTGTTAACAATGCTCACAATTTTAGTGAAGCCCTTTGGAGTCTTCTAGAGCATTTTCATTTGAACTTCAGCTCTGCTACTTTCTACCTAGGTGACATCTGATGAGACATTTAACCTTTCTAGCCCTGAGTTTCCTCATCTGTAAAATGGGAGTGTTAAACAAAATGATCTTTAAGGTCCCTTTGAGTTCTAAGCCTGTTTATCCTAATCAAGGTTATTCAGTAACTAAAAAAGAAGAAATCATAGTTTAAAAATTATCCCCAGACATACAGTGCCATCTGGTATAAACTCAATAACTAATAAGCTTAATTACTCTAGAAAGGATAAGGGCAAATATGGATCAGAAGACCATAGCTTTAGAGCTGAAGCAGCCCTTAGAGATTATGTAATTCAACCCTCTCCTTTTATAAGTGTAAAAAACAAGCTCTAGAGAAATTAAAGTGAATTGCTGAAGGTGACCCAGGTCCCAAGTGGCAGAGTTCAGATTTGAATACAGTTTTTGGACACCATATCCAGAGTTCTTTGTGAAATTAGAAACATGGGTGTAAATGAAGACACACATTTTAAAACTTAACACCTAACTTTTCATGTTTATCATACATAAACATATTTATTTGGCAAAGGATATTCCAACACAATGAATTAAGGGTAATAGGAGAGTTTTATAAACCTACCCTGAAAAACAAGAGGAAGCCTTCATTTTAAAAAATCATTTTAATAGTTTGGACTAGGTTGGGTACAGCAATGCTCAGGACAGTGATTGGCATCAGAGAGCTAAGGAAGCATTTCATAGATATTGTGAACTACCTATAACTAAACCAGCAGGTGAGTTTCCCTTATTAATGACTATGATTTGCCAACACCTAAATCAATGAGTGAGTTTCCCCACTTACATGCAGTGGAAACTTACATCTACATCACTTACTACATGAATGACAGTTACAACTTTGGGGAATGTGTGGAAGATTAATTTTTTGAGAAAACAAATTGCACCAATTAATAAACAGACCTCAAAATGGTACTTTATGGGGGGGGATACAAACGTGCAATTATAGGATTTTGTAATGAACAATGTATTATGAAAATGACTTTAAATAATTTTGGGGCATTAGAAAATCTGTAGCTATGATAAAAATTTCATGTAACTTCATAGCAGCTGGTCATGTATTTGGAGGGAAATTACACTTTTCCACAGCACTTTTGGTAGCATATATAATAACATGGAAAAAGCGATTTTCCCAAAGCAAATGGCAACTGAGGAAAGAAATTTGTTTCTCCATTAATGCAAAGACTGTAAAAAGTAAAGAAGGAAACTGGAGTATTTACAGAAATGTTGAAAATCCTAGCAAGACATCTAACCTTCCTTCTGAAGCGCCTTCATTTGAGAAGATTATGTTTGGCATGAACTAGAGCAGTGGTCACTTACCTGTTTCTTGTGTACAACCACGGAACAGTAAAAATTTTGGAAAGTTATAATCTCTATGCATGGTCAGAATAAAAAAAAATCACAATACAAATTCTCAATAAAAAAAAAAACTTCGAGTTTTTCAGTAGGTTGGTTAATTATCTGTTCTAATACAATGAAGAACGTTTACTTGCATTGCACTCCTTTACCTAATACTTAAAATTTAAACATTATGAAAGTTAAAAAAAACCCTAGCTAATACCCTTTAAAAAAAAAAACAAAAGCATAAAACAAAATGTTATAGCACTCCAAGAATCATCATCTCCTTTTGTACTTGAGTTTTAGTACCAGGTACAAAAACAAGCATGCTGTATGAAAACAAATAAGGGCTTACCTTTCACTTGAAAACTAGCAGCATGGAAGATCTCATAATTGCATTATGATACAGACATCCCTGAGGTTTTTTTTAAATAAACAGAAATTATATTCGGCTGTCTCTAAAATATACACTATAAATCTTATTACAAATGTAATACTCTGTTCTTTTATATTACTTCTGCATTCAATAGTCTAGCTAAAATTATTTTTGAAGCTACGATGGTACTGTGTAATTAAAAAATAAAATAAAATGAATAGGAAAAAAACTATATAGGCTAATTCCTCTATAAATGAAAAAAATTTTTAAACACCAGTTAAGTTTCTGATTTAAGTCAGCTCCAAAGCAGTATTTAGAAAATGATGATGGGACTTGGTTTGAAGAAAGGTGCATAGCTTTAAAAAAAAAAAGACAACTTGTTCTACTAAGAATGTGCTATCATTTTGAGGCAAGATACGTGCTTTAAACTTTGTGCAAATGAGCCCAAAATATTATTAAAATGTAATATCTAGAGTGCAGTGACTAAAAATTTCACTTAACTTACAACACTCTAAGTAGAGCAAGATATATGAACTATATTTTGAGATGCTTCATATTCAATGTATCACAATGAAAATATATATTCCTAATGTTCCTTGAATTCTGCATTGTTACTTTAAAAATTAGGAACTGAAATCACCTGCTTTCATTATTTTCAATTTGCTCTTAAATTGGGTAAGATGAAATCTCTAACAGATAGGAAATCATCTTGAATTCTGGAAAAAGAAATTTTGCTACCCCTTAAATATATTCTTCAAGAAATACAAATATATTTAGGAAATAAAAGGTTGACCAAGAATTGAACTTTTCTCTGTTATCTTCCTAACCCACCCCACAACCTATGAGTAGGTTTATACAGTTTCAGAAACAGAAAGCTATTTATGTCTTTGTTTCCTTCACTCATTCAATTTAAGAGTGTCATGGTTCCAAGGAGTGAGGGAAGATATTGAATTGAAGGAACACAATAATTCAGGGGATGAAAATATTGGGTTAATATTCTTATTTCCAAAAAAAGTCTTAAAATAGGACTACTATTCAGTGTGAAGAAGCTTCAAGTATACCTTGTTTGTTCATATCTTACCAAAAAGTACACGTAAAGGGAATTCTACTTAACAAATGTTTCTACTACAAATGCTACAAGAAAACCAAGTAGAAAATACATTGTGCTATATCTTCGTATGCTTGTTCCATTTCAAAATGTATTTTTTTTTTTGGTGAGGAAATTGGGGTTAAGTGACTTGCCCAGGGTCAAACAGTTAGTAAGTATCAAGTGTCTGAGGCAGGATTTGAACTCAGGTCCTCCTGACTCCAGGTCCCGTTGCTCTAACCACTGCACCACCTAGCTGCCTCTCAAAATGTATTCTTAAGGGGGTAGGATGGGAGCGGGGTTATCCTGTAAAAGTAAAACTATATGATTGTTCCCTTTGTCTTGAAAAATATCTACAGTACACGAAACAACCTGCTAAAAGTGTACACCTGTTGATGATGATGGCCAATGACAGAACTGAACAGGCACACAGAAAGTTGCTTATTAAGAAGTCTAAACATCTTATCTTGGTTCTAATGTTCACGAAGCTAATATGTGTGGATCAACACTGGAAAAATTAGAAAATAATACCAATGACTATAAACTTTTGTGCAAAACACTACACGAGAGGCCAAGTTCTTTATACATTCACTGTGGAAAAGACTGTACAAATATATTCTCTGCATCTTTAACTTTGCAAAAAAAAGCATTAAATGTTTTCACCTCTCAAAAATTTAACTGAGTCAAAAAAGAAGTCTTTCTCTTTTTTTCCCTCCTTTTCTTTTTTGCTTTGCCAAGTAAGGCAAATAATGGTGATACTGACTGACCATACACAGGAACACTTTTACCATGTTGATACAAAAAAAAATTCCCTATTAATAGGTTTCATTGGCATGTTCTCATGGGAGCAAATACATCCTCGTGGAGAAAACAAACACTTCATGGAATCTGCAAGTTTTGAAGAGAGATTTGCATTTGTAAGTTCTGAAGAGATATTTGCATTTCTGTTCTGTTCACCACCACAACTTGTGTGAGAATAGTCCTGAAGGGCAAAATTTAGCATTAAGATGAAGTTCCATTTTTTCATCCACCCATGTCATCTCTTATCTGATCCACTCGAACAGCAAGGTCTCTGAAGGCAGGGCGTAAGCTTACATTATTGTTCCAGCATTCGGTCATGATAGAATAAATCTGGAGAAGAAAGAAGAAATCAGAGATCTACATAGATACAGAAAAATCCATCATTTAATTAGAACAAGAGCTTAGGGAACTGAAGATATGCATTATTTATCATTGCTTTGCCTCGGCTCCATGGTCATATAAGTAATTATGTCAACTTCTGTCTAAAAGTCCAACTAATTAAATTTTATAGATTGGGCAAAAGGACATATGGAGATGTAGATTTTTATTATAAATTAATGATAACAGATAAAATACTTATAATTTAATTACCTCATCAGGACAGCCATCTGGTCTTGGCAACCTTCCATTATTCTTCAAAAGTTCTATTAGATGGAATACAATCATCTGCCCTTGTTTGTCATTACCAATCATACGCATAAATTCCTGAAATGAAATGCCAATTTCAATGATATAACTGAAATTGCTTTCCAGAGCTAATTTTATGTAAAATTACTAGTTAATTTTATATATATTCTTTGGTACCATGACATCTTAGAGAACAAGCAATGAACAAGCATGATAGACACCTGTGTGCAATGAGTATGCCATGATACATCTTGTTAGTGATCAAAATTACCTATACACTGAAAAAATGTTTCCGATAAAACTGCCAAATCCCTATAATAACATTTCTATATTTCCACAACTACAATCCATGCAAACTGTCTGCAATAATAACAGAGTAACTTCCCAATCAGTCAACAACAAAAAGTTTTGCTTTATGTGACATTTCCTACATGAAATGAGCTTTCCAAATGTGATACTCTTAAAGAATAAAACCAATGTTTTATGCACTTGTTTTACCGCTATTTTTAGAAAACAGGTATAATGGGACCAAAGAATTTAGAGCCATTTTGGTGATTTTCCAAAGGAGAATATTGGACATTATGGAAATTAAATCAACTAATTATTTTCATTATAACTTTCTGGTTGACTCTTTAGACAAAACATGGTAAAATGAATACTATACTAACCGCTGGTGGGCTTTTGCTTTTCTCAATATATGTGAAAAGTTCATATAGAACTACTCCAAAACTCCACACATCTGAGGCTACCGAAAACTTGCTTTCCGTGAGTGATTCTGGAGCATACCTAAATCACATAAAAAATCAGTTAAGACCAGAGATTAAGTGAGTTTATATGTTAACTTTTGACTATCCATGCCAATGGCTGCCAAAGACAGCATAAACTAATTGCAATCCACATATAATTCAATGAAAACCTGTGTTGATCTGTTGCTCTTTCTTCCTTACATGCAATTACCACATGTAAAACTGGCTGGCATAATCATATTCTTAAAATTCTGGTCCTCTTCTTCCCCCCCACACTCAGTCATGTGTATTAATCTGTTTATAAGATAGATTTACTGTCTAAAATCTAATATATGTATGCATACATACATATCCATCAAGAATCCAATAGCATTAATACTCATTTTAACCAAGGTTTGCCTTTTATAATGGTAAATAGTTTAGATAATGCCTAACAAGGAATATGTATGTAGAGAGTTCACATGAATTTCATGATACCTTATGGAACAAGCAAGGAAATATTTAGGAAAAAAGAAACAAGAACTTCCATGTTCTCTGTAATGTGACAGACAGACATTTTCCAAAGTTACAGCACCTTTACACAGGTTAAAAAACCAAACTAAAACAAAAACAGTTCAATACAGAATAATTTAAATACAGGGATGTTTTATTAAGAAAAAGTCAGGAAGAAATAGTTTAGCCTAACTATACTAGCAAAGGTAATACTTGCTCTTTAATACAAGGAAACAGAATTGCTAGAGAATTCCATTGGGGAGAAGTAGCAGGATCCCAGATTTGTGACTGCAGGGGTCTCCCAGTGAGACCACCCCTCCACCACTGCAAATCAGCAGCTCCTTTTGGAGGGTCTTGGAGAGCTGCTAGGGGCACTGAGAGGCACTGCCATTGTTACAGAACCAGGATGTGGGTGTATGAAATAGGACTTGAGCTTCCTGATTTTGAGACCATTGTTTCTCAGACTTCTGTATAATTAATTTAATGCTTCTGTGGAATTGGAATCAGAAATAATGGTCTTGAATTTTGGCTCTGCTTTTTATTCGAAGTGTGACTCTGGACACTTCTCTCTGTGCTTCAGTTTCTTCAGCTATAAAATGAAGGACTTGGCTTGATTTCTAAAGTTCTAAGGTGTCTTTCAGCCTTAACATTCTATAATTCTGTTCATATAACCTTGAGACCTTCCAAAACAAGTGAATGACCACATCTAGGTATGTCTTGATATCTTGATTTCTTCACAGTATAAATGAACATATATGAAAATAATGCTAGTAAGTCACTATTTTGAATAGTTTTCCATTAGTATAAACCAACTTTCATAACCTACTGATACTTTTTTTTACTTTACCTTATAACCAACAAAATTCAAATGGCTGGGATTAGAAATAGGATTTAAGATCATGAAACAAAGATGGTAACTTGCAAATCTGGTGATGGAACTCATTACTTGGAAGCTCCGTTATCATCATGCTATTACCAATTGAACAGTGTGTAGGATAATTTTTTATTTTATAAAGAATCTCAGAATACTTCATAAATTTGTGATAAATAGAAAGCTATGCTATTTAGGCATAGGATTTTGTACCTTCTAGGCCAAATGCAAAACCAGGTTAAAAGACTCAAACTAATTTTGAAAATTAAAATCAAGCTTTTATTCTTAAACCAACAATTAAACTAAAGAAAATAAAAACTTAAATAAGTATAAGTATAGGGTCATTACCTTTCTCTGTCAACAAATGGATGCACAAGAATAATATTCTGTCATGGCATAGTACAGTAGGAAAAACTCCAACAACAGAAAACATTAAGAATGCCTGGTTTGGTTTTGAATGCTCTTTAGGCCCAAGAGCCTCAGGAATAGCAGTGGGCCTCCAACCATTAGCCATGCTTTGGGCCTGGCTCCTGCCAGTCATTATCCAGAGGAGCAGCACCTGTAGGAAACCATCAACCCAACCCCCAACCCCTACTGCCACTGAAGGGTCAGGCAAGTCGTCTAGTTAAAGGAGCAAGTTACCCTGAAGGAGAAAAAGGAGGCAGCATGTGCCAAGTGGGTCAAACCACTTCTAACACCACCTTTCCGAAGATGCTGGTGGAGACACCCAAGGTCCTTGAGTCCAAGAATTCCAGGAATAGCAGCGCCCCCTAGATTATGGGCCTTGTTTTCAGCTTGACTCTCGTAGCCACCATTGAGGTGGGAGTAAATTTTGTGGAGAATAGGTGTGACATCTCTGCTACCCTGAATTGTAACCATCAACTGCAGACCATCAACTATGGACAGATAAACCCAAGAGCCCTAGTTCTTCTTCTCAGACCACCAGGTTGGCTTCCATCCTGACTCATGAAGCCTTCATCCAAGGACAAAACCCTTATGGAGATACAATCCAGAAACTCCCTGCAAATGTTGTTGCCCTAGACTCCTCAGCAGTCATAGCTGCTAAGGATGGGGGAGAAAAAGTACAGAATGCACTCACTCCCTTCTCTTTGGTTAGCTTCACAACCTCTTTGAAGACTTTCTCACCTAGCTATCCTCATCATAGACAAAGCCCTGGGGATCTATTCTTCCAACTGACAACTATTTCTCCCAGAAAAATATTTCAGGAAAGCCCTAGAAATACTTCACATCATTCACACCTCCTACCAACCCCCTCCCTAGTTCTGGAACCATGAACCAAATCAAATAAATTCTACTTTAGTTCCTGGAGAGGGGTGTCTATCTACACTCTTCCATGAACCCATTTATCATCTCAATAGACTTTTAAACCAAGATCCCCTACCTGGCCACGACTCCCTTAGATGGTTAATTTCCCTCATTAAGATTTCAGTAAAATCCTTGACTGCCTTTGCTTTTTTATCTGTATCCTCAGAGCTTACTTAGCACAATATTTGGCATACATATTAAGAGCTTAATAAATGCTTTTTCATTTCACATTCATTCAGTCATAGTCCTTGGTATCACAAACATCAAAAATCACTTTGGTTTTACTAATGGAAATGACATTAAAGAAGACACATTATCCTGTCTTCTTACTGAACCCTAAAAGACAACTGGGCCTTTCTGTAAGACTTTCAGCTGAAACTTCCTGTATATGCTGTCTTTCCCATGAGATTGAGAGCTTTTTGAGAAAAGGGTCTATCTTGTTTTTCTATTTGTATCCTCAGTGCTTAACACAGTGCTCTGAATATAATAAACATTGGACAAATGCCTTTTTATTTATTCATTCACTCACATAATTATTTTATTTTTAAAAGTTTTATTGTTCCCTTCTGTTTTTTAACACCAGTCATTTCTTCCTAAATCCTTCCTCTCTGCTCTCTCACCCCTCTATTGAACCCTTTGTTGTAAAAAGAAAAACATGAAAGCAAAACCAACTAAAACAGGAACTCTATCAGACAATGCACACACTACATGGCACCTATTTTATCACCCCCCCCAAATCTCCACAGAGAGGAGAGAACTCACATAATTACTTCTTAAAGGAAAAATATTTTTTGCTTCAGAATGTGTTGAAATGTAAAATGTTTTACAAATAATTGAAATGACAAATTCTCAAAAGATGGAAGTTTGTACTTTGTAACATTAAGTGTTCTGAAAAATATAACTTACCAGAATATGGGACTTTCACCAGGTTCTTTCACTTTGTAGTATTCTTTATCTTGTGGCAGGACTTTCGTCAATCCAAAATCTCCAATTTTAACTCTATTCTCATTTTCCACTAAAATATTTCTCGTGGCCAGATCTCTATGGATATATCTTTTCGTACCAAGATACTCCATTCCCTTTGAATAAAGAACATATGGTTCATTTAACTAATTTTATGAAATGTAAACAAAATCCCCTATTAATGATTTTGCCTCCTAAATCTTCCCTGTCTCAGGTGTTAAGAATACTTCTTAGGAAGTACATCAATAGTACAATTTTACCATGACAAATAAACTGTTGCAGTTAATATACAGAGCAGCTAGGTGGTGTAGTGGATAACTGGGCATGAAGTCAGAGACCTGAGTTCCAATATGGCCTCAGACACTACCTATGCTTACCCTGGGGCAAGTCACTTAACTTTGTTTACCTCAGTTTCCTTATCTGTAAAATGAGCTGGAGAAGGAAATAGCAAACCACTCCAGTACCTTTGCCAAAACAAAACAAAAACACCAAATGGCCTCAAGAAGAGCTGGACATGACTAAAATGACTGAATGAAAACAAAGTTAATATATGGTCATCTTCACTCTAGCTAACTCCATTACATTCCAAACCTATTAATATAGGATTGATAGTGTGGCATAATACAAAGAATGCTGGGCTTAAAATGAGGTAAATGGGGTTCAAATCCTTGCTCTGCTACCTCTCTTAGCCTGTTCCTTCAACTAAAATGGAGATAATATTTATACTACCTTATCTTGTAAGGAAAGTACTTTGTAAATCTTCAAAATACTACTACGAGTAGTTGTTACAACATGCAGGGATAATGGGGGCCCGGTTCATGCACAGAATTCCTGGGATTGTGTATCCTCTTGAGGGAAGATTATTTCTGGGAGAGTCATGATGATGTGGTAGTAAAGTACACTGGAGAAACTGTGAAGGATATGTAGATATTCTATAACTTGTTCTGGTAAGCTAATTGAGTGGTGAATGGGAAGTTCTTTGATTGGCTGAGGAGACATTCAGAAGGTCTGAGTTGGCTTCCACCATCTCTTTTGTCTCAGTCCCTCTCAGCTCTGTTTTCTCTCATGGGATCCAGTGAGACACAACACTGTTAGGGGACAGGCCTTGGGGCTTTTCTCCCCATCAAGGCCATGTGGTGCCAAGTAATAATTCTTGGTTCCTGGCCTCTGCATTTGTTTTTTACAGCCAGGAAACCATTGATGCCCCGTGGAGCAAGGAGACCTTTTTAAGTCTCAGGACAGTGGAATCTGAGAGTCCTCATCTGGCAGTCAGGAAATACATGGATGTGAATTTGGAATGAATGTTATGGGAGGGACTAAACTAAGACTATATCTTCAAGGTGTTGGGGAAACTATGTTTTTTCTTGTTAAATTTTTAAAGTAAATATCCCTTTGTAAAAGTTAATTGATATTAAATGGTTAAAAGGAACTGAGGTACTATTCATCTCGGGTACCTATTAGAGTAAGGGGAACAAAACTGGTAGGGGCTCAATACTGACAGCAGTAGAGAGACCCCCCATATCCACCAGAGTATACTAGCATACTAACTATTTGAGCACTTTTGCTATGCACATAGGAGTAAATTTCAAGATTCCTATGCCTACCAAAGAAATGTCATAAGGGATCATTTATAGTTATTTAAATAATCTTTTTCAGATTTGCGAAGCATTTTATATAAATTATTTAATTTGATCCTCAGAACCCTGGAAGGTAGGTGCTATTATTATCCACGTATTACAGATGACAAAACTGAGGCTGCAAGAGGTCACATTACTTGCCTAGGGTAAGGTAAGTAAGCTACTAAGGGTTATATTTGAACTTAGTTTTTCCTAACTCAAGGCCCAGAACTCTATGTACTATATACCACTTAGTTGCCTCACTTTGAGAAAAAAAAGGTTGAAAAAGGTATAGGTTTTTTTGGACAAGGTCATTTACGTTAATAGGTCAGTATTTGAAGAAAAAAAAGAATAATGTTATATTCAGATATGGTGAATGTATTAAAATGGTGACCAGGATGTTACCTTGCAGATCTGAGATGTATACTGCAGAAGTTTCTTATGATCCAGCCTTTCCTTATGTTTTTGGAGATAGTCACGTAAACTTCCATAAGGTAAATATTCCATAATTAGTCTCAGGTTACGACGGCCTTGCAATTTACAAGTGAAAAATTAAGATTATTATTTTGATTAAAATTTTTTGGAAGGAAACCCCAACAACTCAATTTGGAGTCAAATACATAAATCTGAGACAAATTATAAAACAATTATAAATAATATTCACCATTGAGGATCTTCCATCCATTTGAATATTTCAAGTCCCAACTTTATTTGAAAATCTGAGAGTGTTGGCTCCAATTTCTATGCTATAAATATTTAAACCACACATCCCAGCAGCAGGGATAACTGCAATAAGTCCTAAGTAGACATACTGACTATCTCTCTCTCTTTCTATCCACCCATATCACTAGATCTCTAATTTCATTGGTGTAAGGGACTCCTGTTGCAAAAACTCCCTCTACCAATGTAAAGCGGCACATTCTCTATAATTAATGGTCTCAGAGTACTGAAAGGTTAAGTAACCTACCCAGAGACACAGCCCATATGTGTTAGAAGTAGCCTCACTCCAGGGCAGGCTTTCTATTCTCTATACCAAGCTATATTTTATATAAAGAGCTTATCTCCTTTTTTATGTCTTAGCCAACATAAAAATCATTTCAGTGTTGAATAGAGTACAAGAGACACTCAGAATTCACAAGGTTCCCATTTCTCTACAGGTGCTCAAAATAAAGATGGGAAGGGAGGTGTTGGGAGGAACCAATTATGTAAGAGAAGGAATGTGACCTACACTGGCTTATCTCCTCTTTCTCTTCTTACCTCCTTCTCAAAATGGAAGCTTCCAATCACCATAGCCAATCTAGACTACATATTGAATAGACTGATAAAAACTACAAATGGTCCTAGAAAGCTTAATCCTTTCAGAGGACTACTGGCATTCCCAAAGAGAAGCTTATCAACTCACAAAATATTGGCAGAATAAATATGGAAGAAATATTTGAACCTTCTGGTGCTCCTCATCTACTCTAGATGGCTCTCCCCTCCCACATCACAACTAGCTGTTATGTAGTGAGCATTTATTAATAGCACTTTTACATCCTACACAATGTGCTAGGTATTGGGGATACAAAAATAAAACTGAAACTGTTCCTGCCCTCAAGGAGTTTATATTCTATTGGAGGATATATGCATGTAACCAAGTCTAGTAGTCTGCCAGGAAAGAAACTACAGGGAACCATAAGTGTACAATAGTATGTAGGTTAACACCATCTAATGGCTTTGCCTTACTTTTGTCACTGTATCTGGCTCCATAGGGCTTAGTCAAAACAAAGAATTATCACTAGTATAGAGATGGGTTTAGTACAGAGAATGTTTCAAACTTCAATAGAGAATACTTAAATGCTGAGAGTTCCCCCTGTACTGTATTCAATTTATCTTCATTTAGTCTTTTGTTAAAAAAGAAATTAGTTTTTTTTTCTGAATTTAAGCAACACCAAAGAAAATGGGTGTGAGAATACAGGGCAGACCAGAAAAGTCTATCTCTTTCCCATTCTCTTAACCATCTCTGGTGCTTACTTACAAACTCACAATAATTAATACCTTTCACTGACAGGTTATTCAAGAAGAGACAGAGCAAAACCAGTGGATTATAGGTGTACAACTTTAATTCCTGCTACTTGGAAGGCAGAGGCTGCTTGAGCTTGGGAGTTCTGAGCTCCAACAGGACTAAAGCTGATTAAATATCTGTACTAAGCCTGGCACCAATGTGGAAAGCCCCCTGGAAGGGAGGGAGCCACCAGACTGAAGAAGCAGCAGGAACCAGTTCAGCTTAGAAAAAGGGCAGATCAGACTTTATTAGACTTAGCTCTTCTGAGCAATGCAATGATCTAAGACAATTCCAAAAGACTCACGATGGAAAATGCTATCCACATTCAGAGAAAGAACTGTGGAGTCTGAATCCAGATCGAAACATACTATTTTCTCTTTTTTTGGTTGCTTTTTGTGTTTTCTTTCTCATGGTTTTTCCTTTTTGTTTCAAACCTTCTTTCACAACATGACTAATGTGGAAATATGTTTAATATAATCATATGTGTATAGCCTACATCAGATTGCATGCTGTCTTGAGAAAGGGAGAGCAGAGGGAAAATTTAGAATTCAAAATCTTATAAAAGTGAATGTTGAAAACTAAAAATAAATAAATTAATTTAAAAAGAAAGGAAGAAAGAAAGAAAGAAAGAAAGAGGGCAGGTCATAACCTCTGTGGCTAATCCGTAGTGGGATTGTGCCCATGAGTGGTCACTGAACTTCCAGACTGGATAGGATAGGGAGACCCAATCTCAAGGGAAAAAACAAAGGACTGGGCAAAGACTTCTTATAGCTACCATACATAATCTCAACTGGACACATACACTCTTTCTTCCAGGTAATTCCTGCAGTTCATTCAGATCTGCTGCAGGTTTATTAAAGATATCAATCTACTCTTGAATTACTGAAGACATACTTGATTAGAAAATAAGTTTCCACACGCCCCATACCAGCACTGTAGCACACTCCCTTGTATTTAACAATGTTGTCATGTTGCAGAGATTTAAGAATTTCAATTTCTCTTTCAAAGTCTCTCAGGTGCTCCTCAGTACTGTGCTGTAACTTTTTCACAGCCACCACTTCACCAGTGTTGTCTTGTAGAGGGTCATATCGGCACATTTCCACACTCCCAAAATTACCCTAAACAATAAATAAAAGCGTTTTCATTAATATGTAACTTTTTCAGTTTTTCTTTAGGTCATTATAAGATAAATAAACAACACTTGACTAGTTTTTAATTGTATAGTGAATCTTAGAAAGGAATCATTGGGGTTTGAAAATGAGAACTTTATTCCAATAAAAAAGTACTACTTCACATAAAAAGAAAGTTAATTTATGGGTATTACCCCAAAGGCATTATAGTTGAAAATTAAAAAAAATTTTTTTTTACAATAAAAGACTATTAGGAATTTTGGAAAGAGCAGTGTTAGTTGAGTGAAGAGTTCAGAAGCCAGACTACAATAGGTTGGGATTCTTCAGCTATATAATACATTTTTCTTTGATAGAGTCATAGTCAATATCTGCTTTCTTCACTTAGTTTTATTTCATAAAATTATTTTCATAATGTTTTGTATCTCTGTTCTTGTTATTCTTTAATATCTCAATATGTCAATACTTGCAAAATGTGATTTTGTCAGTGAAGACTAAGCTCTTTTTCTGACACAAATTGTAATTGTACTGTAATTTAGTAGACAGTCTTCCAGAACTGCTGTGGCTAAAAAATTTATCACAGTGTGGCCAATATTGGAATGAAACTCTCAATACCTTGGATGATAGAGACAATTCACATGGGTGGGCCACATAAAAGTCTTATTTTTCAACTGGTATAATCTATGAGAACTCTGGGTCATCTCCATGCCATGATGGGCATCAGAATAAGGATTTAGGGGAGGAACTGTTGTTATAAATTGCATTATAACATATAATTGTGTGTTTGAAGTGAATTTTGGAAATTTTCAAATGCGGGGGAGTCCTCTACTGGATATAAATCCTTCATCTAATTCTCTATGTGCTAAATGATACCCTTTAAAAGAGTCAGATACTATAGGAGGTGTCATGGCATTTGTAACTTGGCGCTTTCAACATGATTTTGCCCAAAGTTATGTAATTTCTTGCCTTTTGCTTTTATTTCACTGATTCTTGAGGGCAGGGACTGCCTAATTTTTGTACTTGCCTCCCCAGGATCCAGCACAGTGACTGGCACATAGTAGTGCCTTAATAAATGCTTTTTCATTCATTCATTTATCCTCACAACATCCCTTTTTAGACATGAAGGTAGAGCAGAATGGTATAGTGAAAAAAACACTCACCTAGAAGTTGGAATTAGGGTTAATCATTTATTAATCCTGGACAAATCATTTAACTTCTTTTAATTTTTTAAAATGAGTAAACTGAAATAAATAATCCTTAAAATTCCTTCCAGATTTAAAACTAAATTATAATTCTTGACAGACAAGTGAAACTGAGGCACAATCTTAACCAGTTTAGAAACTCAAGGCAGAGCTTAGATTATAATTCAAGATATTTTTCCTACTGCATATACTACCTCACTTTTAATATCTATTGAATTGTGGGAAGCAAGGGCATTTACTGTGAAGCAGCACAGTGTAGTGCAAAGGGCACTGGATTTAAAGTCAGGAGTCCTGAGTTCAAATCATGACTAACATTTATGAGCTATTTAACCACTTAACCTCTGTATCATTTTCACTAGTCTGTAAAATTGGGACAAAAATGCTTAATTACAGGAAGACAGTGGAGCAGTAGAAGGAGCACGGGATTTAGAGTCAGAAATAAACGGATAAATCCTTAGCTGCATGACCATGGGTGTCACTTCATCTCTCTAGATCTCAGTTTCTTCATCTGAATGACCTGTATCATTCCTCAGTGCTCTAAATCCTAAGACTCTGGTTTTATCCCCTTTTGTTTTAGAAAAAAATATATATATGTCCCCCCCACTTTTTGGTGAGTCAGTCGGGGGTTAAGTGACTTGCCCAGGGTCACACAACTAGTAAATGTCAAGTGTCTGAGGCCGGACTTTAACTCAGGTCCTCCTGACTCCAAGGCTGGAGCTCTATCCACTGTGCCACCTAGCTGCCCCCTTTAGAAAATATTCTTTGTTAACATGGTCACTATGTAAACCTCAAGCAAATAATGAAGATTATCAGCAACAATGTGAAAATATTAAAATAAAATATTACTTTTTGTTGAGGAAATAAATGAAAAACATTTATATATAAAAAGTTCCCTAGACTATTTTCACTATTGAGCTAACTGAAAGGAATAACAGTAAGTCAGTCAACAAACATTTATTACCCATCACTTATGAACCCATCATTGGGGATACAAAGAAAAGAAAAAAAATCTCTGCCCTCGAGGAGTTCACATTTGAATGGGGAGAGACCAAATATGAATAACTACATACATACAATATAAATAGAGAAAATAAGATGGAAGATAATCTCAAAGATTAGACATTAGCAGTTGGTGGGAATAGAGAAAGGCTGCCTGCAGAGTCTTGAAGGAGGCCAGGAAAATTCAGAAGCAGACATGATGATGGAGAGCAACCCAAGTATGGGGCAGAGCTAGTACAAGGGCACAGAAACAAGGAACACGAAGCAGCTCAGTGAATATGGACTGGAGAGTTTAAGAGCCTACATTATGGAGGCAAATCCACCAGTTCTTTTGTGAAATGTAACGAAGCAGCAAGATAATGGAGATGGGTATTTAATTACATATGCAATTACATTTTCCAAGGGTAACATCCCAGCAAAGCAACAAAAATAAGCAGATTAGACAAAGAGTATAGCCTTTGTCTTCAAGCATGAAGAATGATAATTCAACTGGGCATTTCCATATTTAAGGAAGTGTAATTATTATTAAAAAAAAATAAAGCCACTCCATTTGTAATGCTTTGTTTTCTATCTTCTGTAAACCAATTTATAAAAACTGTATTTAATTGTCAACATATTTAGAAAATGCTGTCCTTGTAGTCTTCCCAATTTCCTTTGAATCTATGTTTTACATTCAAAAATTTAGCTGATCAGTCAAATGCAAAAAAATAAGACCCCCCCCATTGCACCCCATTCCAAAGGAGAATTACTGAATAAAAAGTAAAGAAAATGGAACAGTGTGAACAACATGACAAAGGGGTCTCCCTGAATTAACTATAGAGGATGATTTTAGCTGAAACTAGCAGCAGAGAACCTCTTATAAGAAGTAGTGATGGCTTAAAGACATTTGGACTCTATCTTTCAATCCCCTGGTTCTGATGGGAGTGCTTTTGTCCTTATCTTGTCAGGGCCCAGCCTCCACACCACTTCCCCACTATCTTCTTCTTCTTTTTTTTTTGGCTAGGCAATGGGGCTAAGTGACTTGTCCAGTGTCACACAGCTACTAAGGGTTATGTGTCTGAGGCTGGATTTGAACTCAGGTCCTCCCGACTCCATGGCCAGAGCTCTATTCACTGTGCCACCTAGCTGTCCCTCCCTACTATCTTCTTAACATGACCCTTATGCTCCAACTATTTTCATTCTACCAGAATCCTAGACCTCACTCCTGGATCCCCTTGGCTCTGACAGGTGAACTTCCACCTTATCTTTCAGGGGCCCAAGACTCAATACCCTCTAATTTTAGTTTTCCTCACCATATTTCCCTTTGGGTTCCCTTCCCACCCCCTTTCCATACCCTTTTATGTGTTGTCTTCCCCTATTAAAATGTAAGCTCATTGCAGGAATTCTCTTGGTTGCTTTTATCTGTATCCCCAGTGTTTAGCACATAGTACTTAATCAATTTTCTCTTTTTACCTCTCTCCTTTTCCTTTCCCCCTCTAATCCCTCTTCCCTTTTTCCTTTTGCCCTCTCTGGGAATCCCATGGCAGCAGCACTACAGAAGCTGTGGGTGCAAGTAATAGAAATAATTTCTATTATTAAGGCTCTAGTATATAACTCTTGCCTTGACAGAGCTGGATTATTCTAGATGCTAATGGAATATTTTATTGGTGTTTTGGGAAACAAGCTTGCATTTTTGTGAAGAGTTTTGAGTTGATGATGAAACAACAGCATTTGAGGTCCAATTTTATCTGTACCAAAATCTGGTCCTGAAAGAACCATCCAATAGTTTGCTACCATAGGAACTTGCCACAATCATTGGATTGAGGCACTCTAAACTTGTCTACTAAAATACAATAACAAGCAAAAAAATCAGGTTATATGTTTTTACACCCCAAATCCATTTTAATTTTTAAAGATGCTGGCTAAGTCTCAAAATCTTTCTAAAGTCTTTTCTCTTGGAATATAAACAGAGTGCCATGGGTTTCATAGGGTTTGAGAGACTTCATTGATTTACTTAGATGAAAGCTCTTTGAAATATAGCACTATCCATAAAAATCAACATGTGTCCCAAAGTTTAAAAGGAAATTAAGTAATAAGACTTAAGTAACAGAACACTTGTTGAGTACTTAGTTACCCTGTGGTACACAGGGTATAGTGAGAGATAAAAAAATTAAGTTAAGGACATGATTTGTCTGCCTTTAAAATGTATATAAATTGAAGACAATGCTTAACACAATGGGAAACAACCAGTAAGCAATACAAGGGTATGTAATTAAGTGCTACATTATATAGTACTTCTTTTATACTAGAAAACCTGTTTATACTCTATGCCTCCACTTCCTCTCCTCTCTTTTTCGAAACCCTCTGCAACCTGGCTCCCTGCATCACTATTCAACTGAAACTACTCTCTCCAAAACTACCAATGATCTCTCTCTTTCTTTTTTTTTTAAACTTTTTAGGCAATTGGGGTTAAGTGACTTGCCCAGGGTCACACAGCTAGTAAGTGTCAGGTATTTGGTCTGAGCAATGATCTCTTAATCACCCAATCTAATAGACTCTTTTTGATCTTCCTTCTTCCTGACAAGTTTGAAACATATATTGTTGACCAACCTCCTCCTGGATATTTTCTCCTCACTGCTCTATCTTGGTTTTCCTCTTGCCTGTCTCACCTTTCCTTCTCAAGTCTCCTTTGCTGGTTTTGCATTGACAACACATCTACTAACCCCCAAAGCTCTCTTCTCCCACTTAGTGATCATATCAGCTCCCATGGGCTTGGCTACAATCTCTATGTAGATGTTTCCCAGCCCTAGTCTCTCTTCTGAGTTCTGGTCATGTACCACCAATCATCTAGGGTACGTTTTTATAACTAGATGTTCATGGACAGCTCAAACCCTACAAGTCAAAAAGAGAACTCATTATCTGTTCCCCCAAACCCTCCCCTCCCTTTCAAATTCCCTCTCACTGTTAAGGGCCTTGACACCTTTCTACTCACTCAGATTCACAATCTCAGGCCTCTTCAACTTCTCCACTCTATCTATGCAATATGTTGCCACATAATGACATCTGTACATCTGTTTTCTTCTCTCACATTGTCCTCACTTGAGTTCAAGCTCTAGTCTGGACAACTGCAACAATTTTCTAATTGTGATCTCTGCCTCAAGTCTTTCCCCTTTCCAATACACTCTCCACTGAGTTGCCAAAGCAGTTTTCCTAATGTGTAGGCCTAACCATGTCATACCTCTCTTCAGTAAAGTCCAGTGATTCCCTATCACTATTATTCAAATAAAGCCCTTTTTGGGCATATAAAGTTTTTTACCCAGACCCCTTCCTATCCTTCCAGTTTTTTTGTACTTTACTTTTCCCTCCATCAACTCTTTTGATCTATCTACACTGACCTACTTGATCTATCTACACTGACCTACTTGATGTGCTCACATAAAGCACTCACTCTCCTGCTTCCCTCTTTTAATTAGTTGTCTTCCATGTCTGGAATGCTCTCTCTCCTAAGAGTCTTCACCTTTTAGGATGTTTGGTTTCCTCCAAGGAACGGCTCCAGTGCCACTTTCTTCAGTAGGCCTTTCCTGATTCCCCTAGCAGGTAGAGCCTTCCCCTTTAAGGATATTTTTTCACATATTCTGTACCTATCTTGTATATGCTGATTCATCTCTATGTGGTCTCTTCCACTGCAGTGTAAGGCAGGGATTGCTTTTTTCCCTTTCCTTGCATTCTTAGTGCTCAGCACAGTGCCTGGCACATAGAAAGGACTTCATTATACAGTTGTTGTTTAACTAGCTGTAGTACAGAAAATAAGAGCTTTAGATATTTTTTTTAAAAAAGGGGATCAGAGAGGGCTAGAGTAATCAAATAAGTCTTCATTGTGAGGGTGGGCTGGACCTTTAAAAACAAGTATTATTTAGGCAAGTGGAAGAGGAATAGGAGAGCTTCCAGGACTGAGTAAATGCCTGGTGGCAGGTATTAGATTGATGCATTACTTAAGTTATGAGGAGACTGCTCTGGTCCGAATAGAAGGTGCATTTTGGGGAATAGGGGGAAATAAGATTACAGAGGCACCATCAAGAACAAATATGTCTGTAGTGTATCTTGTTGGAACAATTCAACCAGAAATAAAAGCAATAAAAGGTTACAAATGCAAAGATAGAAGCTACAACACATATATAGTCTATCAAATCAAATACGGTTAGGCACAGTGTGAAAAATACAATTAGGGATCAGAAGAATTCTGGGCCTGTTACTAAGCAGCTACCTAATGTTAGCTCAGTCACTTAATTTGCGGGGGACTTCAGTTTGTTCATCTGCAAAATAATATGATGAGGGTGTTGGTCTGAATAAATACTAAGATCTCTTTCTAGTTCTAAAATTTTATGACTCTACGAAAAAATTTCACAACTTACCTTTCCAAGTTGCTGTAGGAATTTAAGGTGTCTCTCTTCAAATTGTGTGGGATCTCTGTCTTCAAAAGCACCAGAAAATCCTAGGGCACCAATTCTCATATTTGGCAACATGTCATTTTCTGTTAGTAGTTCATAGTCTGAGGAAATAAAGAATTAGGTAAAATTTCACCATCAGGATTACTGGCATTTCCCCAATTAACAAATAATAGAAATATAATCATGACCTGGAAGATAAGATTAAGCTGGAAATAGTAAACAAGATCATGGAAGCTGCAAAATTAGCCACAAAAGTTTCACAAAAACGGGCATTTTCAATTTTCCACACAAAGAATGGTAAAATCTCTCAATCAAACAAATTCTGGAATTAACAAATACTTTTTTGGCACTGGGTAGTTTGGCACTCATTAGGAAAGATTTTATATTAAATTTATTCATAAGTAGTAAACACAAACCGGTATAGGAAATATCTGTTGCTAAATCAAATGCAAGTGATCCCAGTACTTAGTATAGTATTGTTCAAAGAGTAAAAATAAATGCTTTTTCATTCATTTATTCACCAATCATATTACAAATTAGTTCAGCATTCTAAAGGAGAAAGGAAAAACAAAGAAGTCTCCTACTTTGAGTAAAGGGTACAATAACAAAATGTAGTCATTAGTCAGGAAAGAATGGAAATATAGGCTAAATGTGTACCACAGAGCAGAGAGATCAGAAACCTTCAAAACCCTTTATATGACTACCTAGAAAAGAAGCTAATGTAGGAAAAAAAATTTTTTAAACTTTTTAATAGGAAGACTATTTAATCTAGGTGAATATGGAAGCCCACAAAAAGTGGCAGGTAAATTACACATTAAAAACTGGGCTGGCCAAAAAGAAATAAAAAGTTACTTTTTCAGAGGCCTCAAAGTCAATAAGAAGTTCATTAAAACATTATTATCAGCAATAATCTAGAGAAACAATGAGAGTACTTGGCCATTACCATACCTGGAGTGAGTAAGCTGTTAAGGTCTCGTATGATGGCTCGGAAAGAAGGCCTGAAGTCTGGCTCATAATCCATACAATTATTGATAAGATTTGCTAACTCTGTCCACTTTGGTGCAGGGAGCTGGTGTCTATCTTCATAGAACTGCAGTTTCTGTAATTAATGAACCAAACATTAAAGATGAATCATTGTGTGATGCCATAAAACTCTTATTAACAAGACAAAATGAAATAACTGTTAAAAAATTAAGCTAACCATTAAAAGAAAATGCAAAGGGTCACAGATTAAACACTTCTAATTTAAGACTTATATAAACTTACTCTTTGAGAATCTAATGCACTCAGAGGTTTGTCTCCTCCACTGCAGATTTCCCACAAAGTGGTACCAAAACTCCACTTATCTGCTGCCAAACTTAGGTTCTTAGGATTGTCAATACATTCAGGTGGAACCCATGGTATCCTCTCCTGAAGAACTGTTGAATCATATAACAAAATATGGTGATAAGGCTAAAAGAACTTTTCATTTAAAATTTGCTGATATGCAAGCTATTTTAAAAATAATCAGAATCACTGAATTTTTTAGAGCTAGAAGAGCCTAGAATTTTTTACAATATACCATGTCATCTCTACTATATTTACTAGAACTGGGGGGGGGAGGGAAGGGATAAGAATAAGCATTTATGCAGAGCCTACTATATGCCAGGCACTGTATTGAGCACTTTTACAAATACCTCATTTGATCTGCACAAGCACCCTTTCAAGGTAGGTGCTATTATTATTTCCATTTTACAGTTGAGTAAATTGAGGCAACATAAGTTAAGTGACTTGCTCAGGGACATACAGCTAATAAGTATCTGAGGCTAGATTTGAACTCAGGTCTTCCTGACTTTAGGCACAGCACTCCATCTACTACACCACCTAGTTGCCTCTAAACTATCTCCTGCATTAAAAAAACAAAAACAAAAACCACGCATACAAAAAAAAAGAACATTTTCTAAGCAAATTAGACTCAAATATTTTCATACATTTCTTTGCTTTTGTCACATTATCTGTTGGTTGAGCTGTTCTAATGGCTCAACATCAGTGTTAATTCTTTTTTTCATGTTAACAGTACATACGTTAAAGAGACAAGCTGCACACATAAGACTAGAGCCTTGGAATACCACGGAAGTGTTCCTAATACAGTTTGTTGTTTTCTTCCGTCAATACTTTCTAGGTTAAAGTCCTGAGGCCTGTAGTGCCACCAGAATTGTGCTAAGTAAGAAGGAGGGTATAGGATTTTGTATTCTTCCATATATACCCTGCTAGAATATAAACTCCTTGAAGACAAGGAATGCTTCATTTTTATCTTAGTATTTCCAACACCTAGTACAGTATCTGGAATATAGCAGATGCTTAAAAAATATTTAATAAAATTGAACTGAATTTGCTGACTTCTTGTTAGAACATTCAAAATTCTTAAATGCAGGAATAATATAGCATTTTACATACAGTATAAAAAAAACTTTATGAAGTTATAAGATGGTATCTCAGCTTTTGGCTGAAATGTTAAGTAGTCTGCAGCCTTATAGTTAATGGTTTAAAGTAGGAATAAAATGGTTCTTCTGCTGTAGAACAGATAATTACATATGTTAGCCTTTTCTCCTCATCTTTGAGGGTCAGGTCCCACAAGGCATTTCCTATCCTGTTTGCTTGACCAATTTAAGTACTACTGATAGTCACAAAAACCACAAAGTTTAAGGACCCAGGGGTTTTATCTGTAAAAATTCCAAAATGGTAATTAATTTAGATAATCCAAACATTCAATTTAATTAAAGTAAAAACAACATAAAAAATATTCAGGAGAATTATTTGGGTCAGGTAGATAAAAAATAATACTTATCTGATAATCTTACATTTCAATTAGTTGTGTTACATAGAAATTGCTTATTCTTTCAGTAGGCAAGAGATGAAAAAGTGAGGAAAAAACCCTAGAATCACATGAAGAGACAACTGAAGACTGGTTAAGGCTTCAGAGGATTAATATCCTGCATATTTTCTTAAATTTTTAATGAAAACAGGAAAAAATATCTGAAACACCCTTGTCTAACCATAAGAATATTGAGGAATCACTAATAAACAAAACATGAATATGACTCTGTTGCGTATTATTGTAAAAATTGTTAAAATATATAAAAGGCCTAAGAAGACCTGCATGTAATTTTTACTTAATTCTTATTTTACTACAAACATGTTAAAAATTTAATCTAGATTTTACTAATCAAGATCACAATAATACAATGAACAGTATTTTTTGTAAACCAACAGGCTATTTCAAGCTATCTCAAAATGAAACATATAGAAACATACAGAAAGCTAAATTAGAACAATGGAAAACTTACTGTCTTTTGGCAAAACTGTAATACTAATGCCAGGATCACTGAGCTTGATGAAAGGAGGATTTCCTGTCTTTCTGTCCTCTTCTCTGATTAGTAAAATGTTCTTAGTACATACATTACCATGAGTGAGGCTTTTTTCTTCCTATTAAAGGAGCACACACATACATTAGTATTAATTTGCCAATGTTTTGACTGTGTACAACATATGAAGAGAAACTGAGAAACATATATGATAAATATTTATTTGTAAAGTTAAGGAAATATAAGATACACTATATGTATCTCTGTTTCCCAAATTGTTACTTAAAAATAAAATTTTAATAATTATTTATTAATCCTCCTTAAATCTGAATTAGCTGTCTCTAATGCAAATAATGGGTAAAATGATACTTTGTCCTTTAAATATTTGAGAAGATGATTTTTCAGTAGAAACAATGCATTTTTAGCCTGGTGGCTCTTTTTTTTTCCTTTCTAAAAATGGTGAATTTTACATTGTCCTCCTACTTGCTCTTGAATATTGTAGGTTGGTGATATTGTGAGAAATCACAGGATGTTTATTCTGTGTTTTTCCATTTTCATCTTCGCTATTAACTGAGAGAGCAATGCACTGCCTTGAAGAGTTGGATTTTCTAGTCTTTTTCGATGCAAACGCAGATTTTGATTCTTGTTCTTTTTTCCATCTTTCTTTCCTATTACAGACTCTAACGTTGTGTTTTCTCCACTGAGTTTCTACTTTGGTCTCTCAGGCCTTGTGTTTTCATTCTTGTTTTCCCCAAAATTGTGGCTGATCCTTCCTCAGACAGTAGGCCTGAGGTTGCTTTTTCCTTATGCACGTATAGAAAACTGCTGCTCTAAAGAGTCTAATTTCTGAGATTGAGCTTCTGAATGATTGATTCTGAGTTTGAGCTTCAACCAAGTGTTCCAGCAGAAAAGGTGATGGGATAAGCCCTCTAGATCTTTTTAGTTCTGTCCCTCCCTATTTGGATCCTGATTTTTGCCAAACAAGAGATCACCCCAGTCTTTATTCTGTCCTTTATCAGTAATATCCTTTCAAGTTCTTTTGCTGCCTAGACTTCTCATCAAGCTTCAAAGTATTGAGCAAGGAACCTAAGTTCCACAAATTCAGTGTAACCAAAACCTTTCAACCAATCTGGATTACTTAGTTCACATGATAAATGCTTTGCACTTGGAGTAATCTTCTGAAAAAAATCTTTGATGGAACCCTGTCATGCCTTTGGGCAAACTGCCTAGAAAAGCAGCATAGTGCGGCAACCTGGGAAGACACATTTGGTTAAACTTGGGTTCCAGAGTAGCCCATGAAGTCAACAAGTAGGATGGAGTCACACTATACATATTGCTACCCTTACTGTGCTAAGTGGTGATCATCACCAGATCATTTGTCATATTAGTGCAACTAATTAGTTTGGGGACAGAAGTATTTCCCTTCACCACCATACTCAGAGAAGCAAAAAAGTGAGGGTATTCCTCTTCTTAATCATCTTTTTAATTGATGCTGACACACTGAAAAAATATTATGGTTTGCTGAATGAGAATCTTGCCCAGTCTTGCTGTCTGAACTAGTAATACTCTGCAACTGGGTCAGTGTGCTCTACTGGAACTTGCTTGCTTTCTAATAATCAAGCTATTTTTCCTTCTACCTGCCCTCAAGACATTCTGAAAAGCTTTTGTAATCACCAATTACTTATATTTTAAACTAGATAATGTCAAAAGTGCTTCTCTATTCTAAAGTTTTGCGAAAAATGAATAAGAAAAGGGTGGCAAAATTCTATTGTTGTAAATACCTGCATTTCTGGATAAGACATACTTTAAATCTGCCTATTAATGACAGAAGGTCTGTCTGATGAGTACTTTAACAATGACTTTTTTTAGTCTATGCAATTACATGAATATCCCCATAAACGTGCCTAGAATGAATACTTCTATCCTCTCTCAAGGTCTCTTTTGGATTCTGTGTCATACATTCACAATTTTCTCGTCTCCTCTTTCTAGGCAAAGATACATCTACTGTGCTATAAGACAAAAGGAGATTTTCCTTGTTTACTTACAAGAAAATGCATGGCCCAGGCCAATTGCTTGGCCACTTCAAGCTTCCATAATATGTTTATAGAATTTTTGTTCTTTTTCAGGTATGTATCTAACGATCCAAATTTCACAAATTCTTGAACTAGAATATCTAAAAAGCAAAAGCATACATGTGCACTTGAAAAAAAAATACCATTTAAACATTTACAGATCATACTATACATGAGTATTATACATAAAATTAAGACAAAATTAAGTAACATAAGGGAAAAAAAGAATAAACATGACCAATTTTTAAAATTTGTTTTATTTTACCACAGCTGTGCAAGAAAGCCTAAGTTATGACATATGCAATATGCTTATTTTATTATATAACAATTCCTAGTGTTATTTACTGAAAAACTGCTACATATTCACTTCCAGTTGAAAATTTTTCACAATAGTTTAGTCTCCCTTTAATAGGATGAGCAGCTGAAGACCCCCCAAAAATTATGTAAATATATCTTTCTACAAAATAGACTATAATTGCCATATTATAGACAAAAAGAAGTTCAAGTATTTCAGTTAATCATTTGTAGCTTCTATATAAAAATACATTGCCAGGAAATTAAAATATTAAGAGTAATTCCTTGTTCATTTATTCTTTCAGTCAAGCCATCAAATCTTTTGTCAGAACAAAACAAATTTTCTTTCAAAAAGAACCACAGGCTTGTCTTGAGAAGTGAAGTTCACCTAAGCAATTAGTTACCAAGGTCAAAGGTTCACAAGGCCATGGTTGTTTTTAAATCAACTTGCCATTAAACCTTATGGTTGCTACCTGGATCCAGGACTGGATTTCAAGTTTGAGTGTGATTGTAATATCTCTTGAATATGCCCCCTTCTCTCTTCTGATACGTCTATCACTCTGGTACAGGCCCTCATTTCCTCACACAGGCTATTGCAGTAGGCTTCTAGCTAGTCTGCCTGCCACAAATCTCTCCCCACTCTATTCCTTCCTTTATGCAGCTGCAGAAGTGATTTTCCTAAAGCAGATACCTGACCATGTCATCCCCTCCTCAACAAACTCCATTGGCCCCCTATCACCTCCAGGATCAAACACATAATTCTCAGTTTGGCATCTATAGCCCTTGATGGCCTAACTCCCACCCCTTCCACCTTTCCATTCTTCTTAAACCTTACACCACCCCTTCCACATACTCTCTGACCCAGTGACACTGTCCTTCTTGAGGTTCCTCTGAACAAGACACTGCTCTTGGCTCCAGGCATTTTCTCTGGATATCCCTCATGCTCAGAATGCTCTCCCTTCCTCATCTCTATCTCTTGGCTTTACTGGCTTCCTTCAAGTTCCAGATAAAATCTCTCCTCTAGGAAACCTTTTCCAATCCCTCTTAATTTTAGTGCCTTCCCCTCTATTGATTATTTCCTATTGATCCTGTATAAAGCTTGTTTATATTGTCTCCCCCATCAGACTGTGAGCTCCTCAAGGGCAGGAACTGTCTTTTGCCTATTTTGTATCCCCTGCACTTAGCACTGTGCCTGGCACACAGTAGGAATTTAATAAATGCTTTACTGATCGTCACAAGAGGCTCTAACTAAATAACTACACTGCCTACCATACATTACATCTGCTGGATGAAATTTTTTGGTTTCAGGACTCCTTTACATTTAAAAAAATTACTGAAGACCTCTTAAAGAGCTTTTGTTTATGTGGGTTATATCCATCTATATTTATGGTATTAGAAAATAAAATATCTCAGACCCCTGAAAAGGGTTCTGGAGACCTCTCTGGGAGCTTGAAAACTACCGTACTAGATTACAAACTCCTTGAGAGCTAGAATCCTATCTTATTTATATTTCTATATCAATTCAATGGTCTAACACAGTGAATTGCACACAGTAAATATTTAATAAAATGTTAAATATTTGTTAAATGCTGAAACAAAACATGAAAATGATAGCGTTTGTTTTACCTAAAGACCAAGTTTTAAAAAATGAAAGATGCTAATTCACATTATAGCTTTGAACACTGTATCATGAATGAAAAAATAGTTTTAAAAAGAATCTGAAGTAGACTTCTTATTTGTATTTATGTCATGCCAAACTTCAACATTTCAATGAAGCCATGATCTCTCACTGATATGTGCAACCTCCCCACCCCCTGCAATCTAGTGACACTGGCCTCCTTGCTGTTCCTCACACATGGGTCAATCTTCTCACTCCATGAATTTTACTCTCCCTCTTCATTTCCACCTCCAGGCTTTCCTGGCTTCCTTCAGGTCCCAGCTAAAATCCCACCTTTGGCAAGAAGCCTTTCCTAAATCCTCTTAATGTTGGTGACTTCTCTTAGAAGATTGGTAATCTTAGGAGATTATTTACAATTTATCCTATCTATATCTTGCTTGTACATAATTGTTTGCATGATGTTTCTCCCATTAGACAGCAATCTCTTAGAGAACAGGGACCATCTTTTGCTTTTATTTGTATCTCTAGCACTTGGCACAATGCCTGGCACCTAAGAGTAACTTAACAAATGCTTGTTGACTTGACTTGATAATAATCCATATACATCTTCTTACCCTGAGTAATTCTTACTCAAGTTCTCGCCCACAGAAAATTCACACGGATCCACCCAACATACAGGAGGCTTCTCTCTATCTTGATCTTTTTACATTTTGTTGGTACCAGTGTCACTTTTGGGCCATCCATTCACCATCATTTGCTACTAAATCTGCAGGTCCCTACAAGGGACCAACCCAGGTGGTGGCCTATGACAGGTGGTAACCTGTCATACTATGAGTGAAAAAAACTGATTCTGTTACATGTCTTTAAATGAGCCTGCATACTTGCACTCTGAAAATCAGTTAACACCTGCTTTTTTGCACTAATGAAAGGGAGTTAAGGTGCAATTAATATAGAAATATTGAATAATATATTTATATTTGACTTTTGCAGACTTGGTCTAGAATTCCTAATTATGTTTTATCCTAATACTGAAAGTATTTAGCATGTACTGAGCATATATTGTCAGCAAAGGAAGGAAAATTAAAAGCAAGGTGGATGAAACAGAAACAACCTCAGGTTTAAAAGTTGCACATAGTCCACATGCAGATAACAGAGAGCAGAGTACATGAAGCTCCATTTGTACTTTACTTTAGCTAGTCTAAGTATCAAGTAAAAAGATGGAACAATTAGGATGGACGCAAGTTACATAAAAATAGACATTACCATTTTTAAGAATGAAGATAATACTTGAACATACAAATAGTACTAATAAATGAAGAAATCACGAATTATACTTCCATAATATTCACTACTTTCCAAATCTCTATGAGAGTTTAATGCTATCACCAGTATAGGGCCCTGTCAATTAATTGAGAGAAGAAAAATGTAAAGCTACAGGCCCTATGCAACTGCTATCATATGTGACCTAGGTATCCTGAAAAATGTACTGAATAAAGGCTTTAAAAGCATGTAAAGAAACATTTTGCAGGTGGTAGGAACAACCATTTTCCATATCCACTGAAAAAATTAGCTTAAATTTTAATATTAAGGGCTCAGGCTACACATAAGACTTCCTGAATGGAAGGCTTATAAGACTGAAATGTATTATTAAGGATATTGTGGAATTCCTTTTCTGGGTCATGTGCTTTACAAATTGTATCATTTTAAGGTCTAGATGAGTAAGATGCCAAAATATCATATTTAATTAGTTTTGTTAAAATATAATCACTTTAATGTTTTTTCTACTCAACCCAAAGAACTGGTGATTGAACTGTTTTTTTTTTTTTGAAACTGAAATGACCAGATGCTAACATCTAAACAGCTGTAATCACAAGCAACAGTTGACATTTTGAACCCTATGGTTCAGGCATTTTTAATGCAATGCAAGAACAATTTTATTTAAATCTCTACAGAAACTTAGATTTTCCATTTGAAAGGCTGTGCTGAAAATTCCTATATCTGCTGGGTTTTGATAAATTACAATTTCTATGTATTTAGCTATGCTTCTGAAAAAGACCTTCCTGTATCAGCAGAATGGACCTCTCTAATGGGAAGAACATGAAATTAACACAAATGACCAAACATTTTACTTACTCTCTTCTCCACAGACACAGACTCCATAATTTAAAACCAGATGCTTGTAAGAAAGCTGGCTCATCATGCTTGCCGCTTCAAAAAAAGACTGGAAGGAATAAAAAAAATATATATTAAGAGAAGGAAGGTTACTAAGTAATAAGCATGTGCTGTAATGTCATATATAATTTGATGTCTACAGGATTTATAGGCCAGAGGTTCTGACTGGGGCTGGGGTGGGGGGCGCAGAGATCAATAGCTGTGACTCTACCAAGAGTAATAACAACAATCTACTGCTATTGTCAGAAGATCAAATAAGTCAATCAGTCAGCTGACAAGTATTTACTATGTGCCGGGCATTCTGAAGATACACAGAAAGGCAAAAAGAGTCCCTGCCTTCAAACAGCTCACATTCTAATGGAGGAGGCAACAGGTAAATAACAATATATTTTATATTTTACATACACACAGTATTGTGTATATATACATAGTATGATATATATACATGTATATGTGTGTGTATATATATATAATACTTTGCATATGTATATATTATGCACACACAAGACATTTACATAGCAGATGGAAGATAATCTCAGAAGGGAGATGCTAGCAACAAGAGGGACTAGGAAAAGTCTCCTGCAGAAGGTGGGATTTGACCTGAGTCTTAAGGAAGCCAGGATGATAAAGAGATGGAAGAGAAGAGGGAGAACATTCTAGGAATGGGGCCAGGAGATGGCAAGTTGTGTGGAAGCAGCCTAGAGTAGCTCGATTAGAGTCCCTAGGAGGGGGCCAAGTGTGCAAAGACTGAAAAGATATGAAGGGGTCAGGTCATGAAGGGCTTTAAAGGAAAACACAAAACTGTATATTTGATCCTGGAGAGAAAAGGGAGCCACTGGGGTTTAGTGAATGGGATGGGGGTGGGGGGGGTGGGAATGTGCATGGGGGGGGTGGGATGAGAAGAGGGAGTGACATAATCAAACCTACACTTAGGAAAATCACTTTGGTAGCTGAATGGAGGATGGCTTGAAAGCAGAAAGACTTGATTAAGGGAGAACAATTAATTCAAAGGCTGTTGGAGTAGTCCAGGTAAGAGGTGGTAAGGGCCTGAACTAGGGTGGTGGCTGTGTGACTGGAGAAAATAAGGCATATATTAGAGATTATGAGGAAGCAGAAATGGCAAGATTTGAAAACAGACCAGATATGTGGGGACAAGTGATAAGTCAAGGATAACACTAAGGTTTTGAGCTGGTAAAAGGATGGTGGTCACCTCAACAATAATATGAAAGTTCAAAAGAGGGGAGGGTTTGAGGAGCAAGATGAGCTCTGTTTTGAACATGTTGAGTTTTAGATGCCTAAAGGGCATCTAGTTCAATATGTCCTAGAGATGGTTAATTAGATCATGATAATCATCATTTCCAGGGAGATAACAATCAAATCTACGGGAGCTGATGAGATCACTGACAGAACATAGAGGGAAAAGAGAAGGTCCAGGACAGAGTTTGGAAGCACACATACAGTCAGTGGATGACATGGATGAAGATCTAAGAATCATTTGCATAAGGATGATAGTTGAACCCATGGGAGCTGATGAGATCACCAAACAAGATGGAATGGATCAAGAGTTCCTAACTTTTCTAAAATAATGGGTAAACCCCCGTGGCAATCAGGTGAACTTATAGAACTTGCTCAGAATTAGGTTTTTAAATACACAAAAAAATTTAATTTTATAATATTATAAAGGAATTATAAATAATGTTATAATTACTTATTAACTGTAAAGGAAACCAATTACATTGAAATAGTTATCAAAACATTAAAAGAAAGTTCATGGACCCCAAGTTAAGAACCCAGGAGAAGGAGGGAGAAGAAGGCCCAGGACAGAGTTTGGTTGATACCTATGGTTAGCAGGTAATTTATTAGGTTTTAGGTTTTGCCCCTTCTCCTGCTTTATGAATTAAGTTATGGATGAGCCTACCCTTAAAGAGAGGTTTTATTTTGGAGAAACTCCAAGGCTAGTCTGAGTTGTACAAATAGCAGCAAGGGAGGGAGGTGAGGATAGGAGGCCCCTATTAGTGGTAATAGTAAACAAGAAAGATTTATTCTAATACAACTGGTATGCCACTACTGGAAGTGACAACTTGGGTAGGGAAGGATGGTTGTACCTTACTGCTCCTGGACCTCTTGGGTTCCTGGCATTCTAATACTTGCCTGGCCTACCAGCTCTGGCCTATGGAGGTCATTTGAAGTGTCACAATACTCAGAAGAAAAGGCTAATATTAATTAGCTTGAAAAAACATTTCTTTTATGAAGTACATCCTTACTTTAATCTGATTATAAAAATGATGAGAAAAAGTTGTTGCTTCAGGGATTTTTTTTTTTATTAAAGAAGAGAGGTTTGTTTGATGGAAAAAAGGTCTCTTTGTGAGCATACTTTAATCATTACCCATTAAGAGGACCAATGATGAAGAATGCTACCCACCTCCGGGCAGTGAGGCAACAGATTAATCTACAGAATGAAACACATTTTTGGATATGGCTAATTTGGGAACTTGTTTTACTTGCCTGTTTATTTGGGCAGCTAGGTGGCATGGTGGGTGGATAGAGTGCCAGGCCTAGAGTTAGGAAGACTCATCTTCCTGAGTTCAAATCTGACCTCAGATACTTATTAGCTGTGTGACCTTGGGCAAATCACTTAACCCTGTCTGCCTCAGTTTCCTCATCTGTAAAATGAGCTGGAGAAGGAAATGGCAAACCACTCTAGTATCTTTGCCAAGAAAACCCTAAATGGGGTCAGAGTTGGACATGACTGAACAACATGTATATTCATTATAAGAGCTTTGATTTTCTTCTTTTGGGACGGAGGAGTGGGAGAAGAAAAAAAATGTTTGAAAACTTAAAAAAAATTTGTCAGGAAACAGCTGTAAATAAAACATCATAATTATTACATAGTTCCACAACAAGAACAAAGTCAAATGAGTTAAAAAAAAAGTAAAATTACCCTTTCTACCACATTAACTACTCAAATAGGATACAAACCTCTGAGTAATTTCTATGTGCTTTATCCAGAACTTTTAAAAGGACTTCTGTTTCATGGAGTTGGCCATAGTCTCCTATTTCTCTTCTTATACCTTTAAAAATCTTGGTAAAAGTGCCTTGCCCAAGGCTTTCATTCTTTTAAAAAAAAAGAGAGAGAAAGTTTAAATGTGGAAAGAAAAATGTTGGAAAGCAATAAAAAAGTAGGTCAAATACGAAAGCAAGATATCCATACTTGCCCGCTAACCTGGGATTTAGGGGTCTATCAAGTGATCCTTCCATTCCATTAAATAATAATGTAAGACTGAAAACAAGGGCAATAATAGCACACGTGATACTGACTAAAATACTTCAATATTCTATAATCCAGGAAATTTATAATGGTCTCAACAGTTCAATATAGTAATATACTAAATTATGCTAATATAATTAATTTAATATGCTGTTTCCAATTAATTTAATATAACATTTATTACAATTATACAAAAACATAACAAGTTCCCAAGGTATTGGTAGTTGCATTTTGAAAATAACTACGGAGGAATGTTCATTAGTTTCTTTTAAAGTTAACCAATTGCTTTTAATTTGTGTGTCCTTACATAAAGAGTGGCAGTGATGAGATCAACCCAGTCTAGTGTTTTTTTCCACTACCCTATGATGCCTAGTATACCAGAGTAGATTTTTTCATTGTAGAAGGGATTAAAAGGCTCCTTTTCAGGTCTGAAAGGGAATCTAATAACTTATACTTATTCATTTTTTAATGACTTCCTCGGTAAAACCTAAGTTTAATATCACAGTATATTATTAAAACTCCTAGCATATTTTCTCATTCCTAATCCAAGTTTAATATTATACTTGCTTCCATGTCTTTTCTATAATAGTAATAAAACAAATGATGAAGCAAGTTGAAAGAAGACATTTTTTCAAAGTGCTACATCCAAATTTTAAACATTTAAATGGAAAATTATCTGCATTGAATGACTTACATATATTAAATCTTCATTTCTGATTTTATGAAATACCATTTGGTTCACATTATTATGCCTCTGCAATGTTGGTGATGTGGAAACATCAGAAATACCATTACTCCTGAAGACTAAAAGATTCGATTTATCTAGAGAACACAGAGTCAAAAGGGAAAAGAACATGTATTTGTCAACAATGTAAATTAACTGGTAACCTAGCACAGTGCCTAATAAATAATCGAAGCAAATTATTGATAATTTTAAAGAACACAATACATATAGTCACTCAGAATGTTTACTGATCCCTGATTGATCTTCCTTTAAAATTTTATTATGTCTGAAGTTTATTCATTAAACTTGATCCTCAAATATTTGAACTGAAGATATATTCCCAGGGAAATGAATAAAGCATAATTAAATAATGAATCAAAATAGTTTCATCCAGAATATAAACAGATACCATTTTTTCAATGCAATCACTGCCTATTTCTCAAAACATTTACTTCAGCAAATAACAAGCTTTTTTAAATCCTTCAGAAAGAAAAAACTGGTAAATCTTGAATGTTTGCAATTATTCCTAAAGTTGGAACTGACTAGTGCATCTTTAGTGCTGGAAACATGTTAAGAATCAGGAGGTGGCAAGATCAGCTCTATAAGGGAGATGTGGAAAGGCTTCAAATTTTAATTCTCTGGTGCAATCCAATGTTGCTTTGGTAATATGGAAGTGAATGCTGTTCTATGGTAGAATAACTTCTATTTTTAGGGCACTTCCTTTTTTTTTTTTAAACGATATGGAACATTGTGAAATCTATAAAGTACAGTCAGTAACACTTATCACTGTATTGTTTTCCCTTAATGACAATGCTATACAATTTTTGATACCTAGTCATTATTATCTAGGGCAGCTAGGTGGTGCAGTGGAAAGAGTACAAGGCCTGAAGTGAAGATCCACCTTCATGATTCGAATCTAGCCTTAGACACTTACTAGCTGTATGACCCTGGGCAAGTCCACTTAATCCTGTTTGTCCCAGTTTCCTCATTTGTAAAATGAGCTGGAGAAGGAAATGGCAAACCACTCCAGTATCTTTGCCAAGAAAACACCAAAGGCAGTCATGAAGAGTCAGACATGACTGAAAAATGACTGAACACACAGAACACACATTATTACCTTCCCAGCAGTGGCTAGGAAGTGGCTTCATTTCCTGTGGGAGCATTTATTTAATTCTACTGTTTACCTTGCTTTTGCTTTGGGAGACATAATAATGTACCTACATTTCAGAAACAGTTCACATGATCTGAACACACAGTTTGATGATTAATGGTTTCATTATTCCCAAATTGTACACACTTTCCATAACAAGTTTCACTTGGTTTGACCCTTTCTGACAGTAAAAACTAGATGACACTTCACTGTTCAACTGCAGTGGAATCTGAAAGAGGAGCCACCATTTTGAAAATTGTCAGTGACAATAAATCCATCTTAATTACTGACTTCCTTTCCCTCCTCTCAATCTCTCTCCTCCACGAGGCTCACTGATCTTTATTACATTTATCTTCATTTCCTTGATTAATGGAGTTTTTATGCATTTTTGTTTTGGGCAGACATATTACTTCACATTTTTCTCATTTTAGAGCTACAGAAAGTGAGGCACTAAAAAATTAAATACAAATATCTTTACTTTCACTTACGCACAAGTGTCTAACAGTACTTCTCACCAGCTCAGTATATACATATCTGACATATTACAACTTGTGCTTTACAATGAAATACAGTATACCAAGAACACCACCATTCTAGAAGCTCACTATATTAGGGACAAATAAAAAGTATAAAAAAAATCTGGCCTTGTTCCAAAGTGAGGATGGTTGCCCATTAATAGGAGAACAAGTCAATCTGTAACTCTTTTGATACTTTTTTTTGAAATATGTGTACGATATCCATGTAACAGCAAACGAAAAATGACTAGAAAGTCTCCTTACCTTTGGGCTTTGGGGGGCAACACTTGGTAAACTGGAAAATTATGCTATCTGATCGGACAGTTTCCATTTGATAGCAATTCAAAAGGTCTTTAAGGTTAGTGAAATTCTTCTTAGTTCCACTGAGGTTGAACTCCCCATTCTCATTTTTTGTAATCAAACAGTGCTTATAATCAGTGACATTTTCCCGCTGTATGAGTTTAATCATAAAGATAGAAAAAAAACCCATCACAATACTGTCTCAATGATTAAATTGGCAAGAGGGATTTTATGAAAAAACAAAAAAAAACAAAAACCAAAAAACAAACCCAAACCCCAAAATTCCCCAAAAACAAAACAAGCCACAAGAGCCTATTTGGAAATTTAAACTCTGATATCTAAAGCACTGCCATTATGTAAGTGGCCTTCTTGTCAAAAGGAACCCTCTAATTATATCATAGTAGTGCCTTAGAAATGAGTCCCAACAATAAATAACACAATGATAATCATTTTTAAAAACTGAAGCCTCCCATTAAATAAAATAGCTATGACAAATATCAAAGAGTTCACAGGTTCTTTTCCAACTTTTCTGTTTCCACTTTCTTTACTCGTTCCCTAATAAGCAGTTTAAGAGAATAAAATGGGGCAAATTCTGTCTCAGCTTGCTACTTTCTGTACATACTCTCTCAGTGAGCAAATCAAACTTTCATAGCTATCATCCCTATGTAATAATAGCTAAATAGTGCTTTAAGATTTGCAAAGCACTTCACATGTCATCTCAGCAGGGCAACATAGTGTAACATTTTATTGCATCTTACCTTGTAATATTATTTCATTCATGTGCTTAATCCTTGATTTCCCTAAAATATTTTAAGTTTCTTGAGGTTTAGAGACTATATCATAATTCTTTTGTAACCTTCAAAGCAGCTAGGCACTGTGCTAGGTATGTAGAAGAAGCATTCCATAAATACTTGCTGGATTTGATAGAACTGAAACATAAGTGTGATTATTTTGGTAAATGTCACTAATGCGCTAAGAAAAAAAATTAAGACCTACTCATTATTCCATATGTATCAATTTGTTGCTCGAGAAATGCTCACATGCTCTTGGATTACCCATCTCAGAATACTCAAGGAAGTAGCATAATTTCGACCAAATTTTAAACCCAAATGCTAAAATGAAAATGGTCAGATTTGTAAAGAAAACTTCTCATTTCAATTAGGAATCAAAGATGTTTTTAAAATAAGAATAGTTATAATCATAAAAAGCTAATTTTATTCTATTATTATATGAACTACATCTAAGCTACTGTAAATATTGGCCCTAAATAATAGCATAGTTGACAGATAAAAAGATAGTATAGTGGATGGAGTGCGAGTCTCATAGTGAAAAAGACCTGAGTTCAAATACCACCTCTGACACACACTGTCTGTGTGACCCTGAGCAAGACACGGAACTCTCTCAGGAACCCACAAGCAACTTACAAAGACTAAAATTGCAGAGAAGATGCCTATGTGCACTGGCAGAGGAAGTACCACACCAGAAGCTGTGAAATCACAGGGCCAATTTTTTAAAAAAGTTGACAAATCACTTTTACATCTCACTTAAACCATACAATATGAGGTAAGCTAGAAAAGTATTATTATTCTTGTTTTATGAATGAGAAAACAGAAATGTAAAGTGACTTACCTAAAGCTACATAGCTAAAACGTGGCTAGGGAGGACTATGACCCAGTTCCCATTCCAGTCCTTGATTCTTAATTTGCTATTTCTTTTAAACAGTGAATGCTAGAAATCTGCTTTCAGAATTTATGGAACTACCTGTTATGCAATATCTCCTTATTAGGTACTTCCGTACTAAATCCTTCCTTAGACAGGGTCCAACACCAATCTATTTTACATCAAAATCTTCACTGTATTGAAGTTTTAGCACAGTTTTATGCTTTCAAAGAGGAAGATTGTAATTCACCTGAGCATCAAGTTTAAAGGCTCAAAACTATTCCTTAAAAAGAGATTACATCGTTTAAAGACTATGAGAGGCAAGGTTGTGTGGTGGAAAGAAGAAGAGGTTTAAAGACAGGGCAGACCTAGGTTCAAGCACATCTCACACACTTAAAGTTGAACGATGGCTTAATTTCTGTGAGCTTCAGTTTCTGCATCTGTAAAATGGGGATAATAATATCTGCAGTATTCAATTCATAAGGGTCAAATGAGATCAAGGTCTATAAAGGGCACTTTTCAAACCTTAAAACTCTATGGAAATGTTAGCTATTATTATAGTGCTTTTATTTCCTTATGATTTCTTATTTTTCTTTATACCTTTATACATTTTAATAATGAATTAAATTGTTTATAAGCTATTTTGTTCTTCTTTGTTTGGTAAAGTTCTCCAAGTAAAATTAAATCTTAAAGCACTCGAGGGCAGAACTGGATTGGGCAAAATACTGTTTGACTGGTGAGACGATGAAAATGGACAAATTGCAAGGTGAGATGATAAAAGAAATTTATTGTAGTTTATTTCTATAATTTTTTTCATTAATTATCCAAATAATGTGATGACTCATTATGGCATACCAATAAAATCTATGCCAGAAGATGGTAAATTATGGAGTATCCTATTAATCTGGAAAAGTTTTGAATATGGGGCCAACAATGGATGGACTATATATAGTTGTCCAAGGAATGGCCTAGCCAAGACTGGAGAGGTTCATCAACAGAGGGCTGACCACTAGATGATGAATTTTTTCAGTGCTATCAAATAACAAAGACTACTAACTAAAGCACCAAATGAGTTGAGGGTTACAATAGGGGAGTAAGTACTCACATGGACAAAATCACAGATCTTTTAGGTGTTTAAAGTAAGACATAAAAGGAATCTTGGAAGAATAAAAGTTCCATTTCCTGCAGACTAAAAGTGGGAGTTCAAACAATAATATGCAAGCTATTATACCCAAAGGATGGTTGCAATTTTGACTATAGACTAAGGAATAAAGTTAAATGTGCAAAAATATTTGGAATAGATAAGCTCTTTCTTGTTCTGATAAGAAGGATACTATATATAGTTCATCAACACAGTCTACTCACCTCAACAACAAAAGTGAGGAAATATGTATTAAAGTCCTTAGGGCTACATCGAAGAACGTAGAGGCCAGTCTGATTACCTGCTTTCTTCAGTTTACTTATGGCAAAATCCATCCTGAAGATAAAGAAGAAGTTATGTATTTACCAGGAAAACAATAATACGAGCATAATTAACTCTACCGACAATGATCACCACCACCACTACTACTACTATATATGTGTATTGTATAAATATATACATTATATATATTCACATTTCAAAACCAGATTTTTCCTGTTACATTTATATGCACAATAAAAGCTTCAAATAGAGGAATCACTATGGATAGTAGGACCAAAATATTTATCATGAAAATATTAAAAATAAAACTGAAGGGTCTCCAAAAAATTGAGGCTCTTTATTCTTTACGGTTGTGGGTAATTTTTCTAAGGGAAAAAGCTATTAACTATTCATACTGAATTCAAACCAATCTTGGGGATGCTCCTATTGCTTTGGAAACACACAAGAAGACATTGGTGACTTTTGTGGTGGAAAAAGTCTACCAGAAACAAACAAATGACTCTATTTTCTTGAAGTCTTCTGGTCATAATTCTATATTTAAAATAATCATTTTCTTTCACAATACCACATATATTTTTGATTACCTCCCAAATCAAGATGGCATAAAATTTTTTGTGCAACTGATTCTAAGGCATGTACTAATATAATAATATACATGACACATAACTGTAGTAATTCAAATAGTATCAAAGTCTTAAGAAAGACCATATTCATATTGTCATTGACAATTTGAAGCAAGTTAAAACAAAAAAAAATTTGTTTTGAAAATTTACTTACAGATGACACATAGGTTGAGTATCTTTAAGGATATTTAGACAGTTAACAAATTTTATAAGCATATTGATTGGGGTTAATATGTCATTATTTATGTTGTACAAAGTATCCTGGTGGGCCTTCTCCCTCCCCCATTTTAAAAGTGTGCATTACTTACGAAATTGGGCCATGACAGTTGCTTTGGATATTTTCAAGGACTGTTGGGGGCGCTACTTCTTTACAGAGGTAATGATGTGCATCTGCAGTTAATCTATAGTATCCATCAATTAATGATACAAAAGATAGAGCTTCTCTCAATGAGTGAAATTCAATTTCCTGAAGGCAATGAGGTATAAAAGAAAATGAATATCTACCAATACTGTTTAAGAACCACCTAATAAATGCCAACAGTGTACTAGATATTTTACACAAAGACAATATGTCCTAAAAATGATACAAGTTTCTTAAGTTGTGCACATTTAGATTTATTATAGCATCAAATGTTAATAGCAGGCAAAGATACCTCAAAAAGTTACCTGCTTCTTAATACATAGTGGTACTTATATTCCATTATGTTATATGTAACTTTCCAGAAACATATTTCAAAGAAGATGCTAAAGTTTTACTATGATAACTAACTATAGTTCTTTTTTTCCTTTCATTATGTCAGTTCCTACAAGGTGGCTCCCCCATATGGCTTAGAAAGACAACATTAAAAGGTTTTCTTTAACACAAACAATGGGAAGCTTCACTGAATATGACTTTCTCATATTACAAACACTTTTACCTTCTCTCCATACTTTCAATTCTTTGGCTTTATGCATTCCTTGTAGACAAAGCACATTATTCCACACATCTCTAATATACTTATCAGGTATTATTTCCTCTTTTATAATTAATAATTTGTATATATTTTATTTCCCCCCTACTCAAAGTAAATTCCATGAAAGTAAGGATTTTATTTTACCTAAATTCTGTTTTTCTCCTATAACCTAGCACAAAGTAGGTATTTGATAAATATTCATTAAAGTTAAGAAACTAAAACATTTTGGAATATAATTATGTACTTGCAATTATGATCCTTTTCTAACACATACTAGCTGGATGACTTTGAGCAAGTGGCTTGATCTCTTAATGCCACTAGGAAATTCTCTAAAGCTAAGGTACAAAGAAGTATCAATCTTCATTGGTAAGCTTCATAAGTTCCTGACAGAGAGCTCACTAGGCCAATGAAATAATTGGGGCAGATAAATGAAAATTAAAAAAAAGTGTGTGTGTGTGTGTGTATGTAAAATTGACAGCCATGAAGGATCACATTTCAGTTATAAAGAATGATAGGGAAGAGATTTTATTATTTATGTTAAAAGTAAAAAAAAAATCACACAAAATGTTATAAATAGAAATCACTGAAAACAAATATTGCAAAACTGATAGTGGTAAATTACTTATGTGATTAAATCAATAAATATGCTGAGGGCAGCTGGTGCCACAGTGGACAGAATTATCAGGCCTGGAGTCAGGGTTGTTATGAGGATCAAAAGTGATAAAAATGGCAAAGCGCTTAGTACAGTGTCTGGGCACATAGTAAGTGCTATATATATATATATATATACACACACATAAATATATATCTATGTATATATATTTATGTATGTGTGTTTATGTATACACACACAAATATATAAATGTTAGCTTTTATTATTAAAAGAATCATAAAGATTGTTCAATCTCTAAATTTTTAAATAGAAATAACCATAGAAAAGCAAAGAATCTCACAGCTCACAAATACTTGGGAAGTCTTGTAATTTTTCATTTTGAAATTCCCAGATGAAAAATGCTCCTTAAGTGCAACAGTAAATACTCTTAGCTGCCAGAAGGCCTTTGCTACTGTCTGTTTTAAAAGAAAAATGTTTCTACTTCATTTCTCATTACTCCCCAATGCATTTCACTTGCTCTGGTCGAGCTAATCTGCTTACTATCACTTGTTCCTGATTTGCTTAATTTATTTACATAAAGTTCTCTCCCAGAAGGTCTTCCCCTTTCCTCCCCTCAAGCCATGTCCCCTGTCTCCTTTAAAAACTATCGATGTAAAAAAAATTAACCCCACCAGGCTCTGACCACTCCTCTTCTCTCTACTCTTTAGGCACTTACTCATGTACATTATCATCAGAATTTAATTTTATGCTTCTAATTTTGCTATTTCTTTTGTAGCTCTGTTATCACTTAATCTACAGGGCTCTAATCTACCGATTCTATGAAATTATTGTTTTATAAGTGCATGAATGAGCAGGAAAAAAAAAATTGAGACATAAATGACCAAATCCCAAAGGTTTTTTTTTTTAAACAGATTGCACATAATAGTATTTCTGACTCATATCTACCTATTACACTGGGGAAATCCCCTCAAGTTTCTAGTTTTTGTGAGAAGTAGTAACTACATAGGTTCCTGACCATTTCAGGCTATCATGATAGTCACATTAACCATAAAAAGCCGAGTAGAAGAGCACTAATTACGGATAATGTACCAGAGAAGAAAAAGCACGTTGTGATTTCAGTTAAAACTTTAATATTTGAGTGGTGTGTGTGTGTGTGTGTGTGTGTGTGTGTGTGTGTGTGTGTGTGTGTAGACAGAGAGCAAAATATTAGGTATTTTCAAGATACAAAACAAAATGAAGGGCCAATTATTGCCCTCAAGAAGATTACAATTTAGTTGGAGAGACAAAACATGTTTTTTTTTAAGTGATGTCGGCACAAGAGCTCCTACTTCTAAAGTGTTGTCTCTGCCATGTTCTCTAATGAGAATGGAGAAGTCCTAGTTTGAATGTAATTATGCTACTATGTCATAAAAGTAAAAACCATTTTCAAACTTTGTCATCATAGCTGTATTTATGAAATTGAAAACATATATTTTCATGTCAGTGCTTGATAGCAGATGCTAAATAAATGCTTGTTGATTGATTGATTTTATCACATTTGACTCCAAGAAAACTAATAAGTGTAATTTGTAAAGAGAAGCAGAAATTTCTGAGTCTTTAGGCAACTTATATTTTAAAAGTATAACTTCTTTTTAGTCCAGTCATTTATGCATGGCATCATCATCATGAGAATTTCCTAAATGTCTAAGAATACTTTTATATAAAGAAGTCTAAGCCAATAATAACTTGAAAGATAGTCATTGAACAGATTAAATAATCTAATTCACATATACACACATATGTCATAAGAGGCTCTTGAAGGAGTTCTAAGAAGATCTTCATATACTGACTGATCCATTTTCTACCCTGAGTTTTAGTCCCATATCACCAATTACCTATTAGACACTTTGAACTGGATATCCCAGAGACATCTTAAACTCAACATGTCTAAAACTGAACTCATCATCTTTCCACCTAAATCCTTACCTCTTCTAAACTTCCCCTTTTCTGAGGAAAACACTATCATCCTTCCAGTGCCTCAGGTTTGTAATCTTGGCATGATTCTCAATTTTCTCTCTCATCCTACGTAGCCAACTAGTTGCTAAATCTTGCTTTCTACCTTTACAACATCTCCTTCATCGTAACCTTTTTCTTCACTCACTCAGGGTCACATTTTAGTTTAAGCGCTCATCACCTCTTACTTAGATTATCATAATAGCCTCCTAATTGGTCTCCATGCTTCAAGTATCTCCAGTCCTCTCTAGTTCACTTTATATTCTGGTGCCCAAATGATTTTCCTTAAGTACAGGTCTATGAGATTCCCTTATTTAACCAGCTGCAGAGGCTTCCTATTTCCTGTAGAATAAAATATAAATTCCTCTGTTTGGCTTTTAAATCCCTACATAACGTGGCCCCAAACCAGTTTCATTAGACATTATGCGTCCTCCCCACTCAGTAATCCAGCCAAACTGATCTTTCTGTTTCTCACTTAGAGTACTGTATCTCCCATCTCAGTGTCTTTGCACTAGTGGTCTTCCAGACCTGCAATGTAATTCTTCCTTACCTCCACGTCCCTGAGTTCTCTCTTACTCTAAGATGTAGCTTAGTAACCATCTCCTGCAGGAAACCTTTTTTGATTCCCTGCAACAACTAGTGCCCTAGCTCTCACACCACCTATCGAACTACTTTCAGAGTGTGTCTGTATGTATTCATTAATTTTATATAATTATGCTGTATATATTTTTATATGTACTTCTTGTCTCCCTCATTAGAATGCAATCTCAGTGCAAGTAGGGATTATTTCACTCTTTGTACTTGTATCCCTGGGGCCTAGCACAGTGCTTGGCATATAAGAGGTACTTAATACTTCTTTTCAGTGATTCCATAAATCCTTTAGTGATCTATATTGTGATTTTTTAAAAATGATTTAGTTATCTAAAATCTTACAGATATTTCCAATAGCAAGATACTTCTCACTTCTTTTTCAAAGAAAGGCATTATTTCTTCCAGGTACATGGGCTGGAAGGAACTTTTTATAAAATTTTATGCAGGGGACTGGAATTTCAAGTTAATGCCACTGGCTTCAACCAAGTAAAAGAAAAAAGAATTCTATGAGCTCCAGGTAAAGATAACCTTCAACTTTCCTTCCTCAAGATACTGTAGTATGGTAGAAGTTGAGAATTATTCTGCATACAATTCTTGGCTGAATGAAAGACAATAAAGCTTGGCTTGGATTGAAAGCTAAAGAAATAAAGGACCTCTTCGAAATAGAAAAATAATGAACAGAATTGTTTTGTGTTTTAACCATATACTTTGGATCTTGTTTTAAATATTACCATTGCACAAATTATTACAAGATATTCACACCACCAAATCTCTCCCTCTCCCTCTCTCTCTCTCTCTCACACACACAGACACACACACACACACAAACACACACTTGTAAACTTCCCTTTATATGTTGTCTTCTTTCGTTAGAATGTAAACTCCTTGAGGGCACAGGTTATCTGGCTTGCTTGTAATTGCTTGTATTTCCAGTGCTTAACACAGTGTATGAGCCTAAAGCAAGAGCTTAATAAACGCTTGATCTCTCAATCTACCCATATGAACCCACTATCTTCATTTTGTTAAACACGGCAAAAGAATCGAATGCCAAAACAAAAATAATTTAATCAGCAAACAAGCAATTAAGCTTTTACAAGCAAGGCATTGTGTTAAGCACTGAGGATTTAAAGGCAAAATACAGTCCCTGTTTTTTTCTAATAATACTTATTTTTCCCTAATTACATGTAAAAACAATTTAATATTTTTTAAAGTTTTGAGTTCCAAATTCTATTCCTTCCTCTCTCCCCTCCCTTCTCCCTGAGACAGTAAGCAATCTGATATAAATTATACATGTGCAATCATGTAAAACACTCCTAT